TCTCTCTCTCTCCTCCTCGCTCTACCACACTCACTCAGTCTGTCTGTCATTCACTAGAGCTGCTCTACCATTCAATTCAATTCTGTTCATTTCTAGAGTTTTTCCTCATATTGTTTCAAAGCACTTTTACCCCTTGTAGATTCACATTTTTCTACGATCTTTGTCTAAATTACCTTAATTGGATTTCATTATTATTAATTATAATTTTTTTTTTTTTATCTTTATTTATTTGATTTCCATTTGTGGATAATTTGGCAATATTCACTCAAAAACTGAGATCAGTGAGGCTTACCATCAATCAGATTTAAAAAAAATAAAATAAAAATGTGCTAATTGACAGAAAACAAGTCTATACGCGATAATATAGCATATAATGGGAGATTTACAAGCAATTTTTTGTAGGACATTTTTGACTAGAAAGGGTACACAGAATTATCTGAAAAGTACCAAAAAAAAAATCATTTTTATTAGAATTTTACATTTTACAAAAAAGCAAAAGAAAACAAGTTACACTTAGAAAATATATACAAATCAATGAATGATAATATACCGTAAAATTGACCCATAGTTACCCATAATTCCACACCGGACGCTCTGCATGTGCAAGATAAGTCAAGTCTTACTGAGGAACAGTATCTGATTTCCAAAGTCTTAGAATTATGCTCTTAGCAATAATCATTCCATAATTAATGGGGCTTTAAAATAAGTTTTTTTTTGGAAGGGGATTTGTTTCTTTCGAACATGCAGCTTTTGTCTTCTCCAGATGTTAACTGATGGACTGGAGTGCTGTGGATTACTTGTGGATTATTGTGATGTTTTTATCAGCTGTTTGGACTCTCATTCTGACGGCACCCATTCACTTGCAGTGAGACACTGATGCAATGCTACATTTCTACAAACCTGATGAAGACACAAACTCATCCTGATCAGTATCTGCTGGACAGACTACAGTCACTCCAGATCAACAGTCGGCTCAGTCGCAGATGAAGTCAGAAAGTGTGTGGTTCCTCGTGCCAGCAGAAGTGTGACGTCTGCCGGAGCGTCTCGTGTTCAGCATCCTGTCAGAGGAACCCAGAGGAACCGGACGCTCAGAGCCGCAAGATGGTAAGATCGTCTCATTCTGTCAGATCTGACTGCATCAATAACGGGTTCGAGTCGCAGAGCATCCAGTTCCAGAGCTGCTTTATGACTTTACTTTAAATAAAAACAGGAAGCAAAGCATTACAGCACAGCACGCACACTTCCTGTCCTCGATCTCTCCAGCTAGCGGCTCTAACAGCCATAATTCAGTCTGATTTGAGTTTAGCTCTGGTTTAATGCGTGGTGAAGCTGTCGGGCTGAGTTACAGATCTGTTGGGTTTGTCTGTTGTCTCTTCAGTCGAGTTCTCTAGTCGTGTGCGAGGTGGACGTCAGTCTGCAGGAGAAGCTCAAGAAGTTCCGCTTCCGTAAGGAGACCAACAACGCAGCCATTCTGAGTGAGTCTGACACACGCTGTTGATCTGTGCGAAACAAATGAAAGTGATTTTCTCATTCAGCTCATGTGTTCCTCAGTGAAGATCGACATGGAGAAGCAGCTGGTGGTGCTGGAGGAGGAATATGAGGTCAGTGTGACCTTTGTGCTGCTCTGAAGGTCAGGGGGTCAAAGGTCATCTCACCTGTGTGTGTGTGTTTCAGAACATCTCACTGGATGAACTCAGAGAAGAGCTTCCAGAGCGTCAGCCTCGATATCCTCACCGATCTCATCATCTGATGCCTTGACATTCATGCATTTAGTAGATGTTGTTATTGTTGTTAACTAAAACTTAAGCCATTTAAAAAATACTTTTTTTTTTGTTTTTTCAACTATTTCATTTCAGCTCATTGTCATTAAGTTTAACTTTAAGTACTAAAATAACTATTGAACTAAAAATGTATAAAACACATCTAGATATATTTAAAAGCTAATAAAATGACAAAAACACACAACAAAATTAGGAAAATTTAACTACAATTAAAACTTAAACATAAAATACTTGCAATAAAATAAACATCAAATGAAACAAAATAAAATGTAAAAACATTAACTTATTTTATTTCAGCTAGTAGCCAAGGCAAAATTTCGCATTTTAATTTAGTTAAACTACTAAAATAAGTCAAACTAAACCTGAAATAAAAATTAACATTTAATTAGACGTTTAAAAAAGAAACGAATAAAAATCACAAAAACATACAACTAAACAACTAAAATTCAAGCCAGAAAATACTTGAATTCAAATAAAAACTTAAAAAATGTAAAATGTATTTTATCTAGTTGCCAAAGGCAACATTTCTGAACATGAAGTACTAAAATAACGAAAACTAAAATTTATAAAAACTATACAGACAATAAAAATTACAGAAACACATCAAATTACTAAGACTAAAGCTGAAAATAAAAACTAATTCACGTTAACAGTAAAAGCCAACAGTAGTATCTCGTGTGTGTTCTTTGACTCAGATGCACGTATATCGTGTACAGTTATAAACTGACCCACGGTGACGGACGCGTGTCGTATCCGCTCTGCTTCATCTTCTCTAGTCCTGTGGGTGAGTAGAGACGTCTGCACTAGGTCTCTGTTCAGATGCTTGATTTGACTTCCACTGAAACAGCTTCTGAACTCTCTCAGGCTGTAAACCGGAGCAGCAGATGATGTACGCCGGCAGCAAGAACCGGCTGGTGCAGTCTGCGGATCTCACCAAGGTCAAGCACTGATCACTGCCTCGTGTGTGATGGAAACTGTTATATGGCCAATTATAAAAGAGATATGAGCTGCGTATGAAAAAACTAAATAGCCCATCATTTGAATCCCGTATTCCCAGCTGACAGAACATTCCGGCAAAGTTCTGAACACGTTAAAAAGTAACATTAATGGAATGTTCGTTCAGAGCTATCTGGTCTCTGATAATGTTCTAAAAACATTAACACAAAAACATTATTTATGCATCGGTCGTGGAATGTTTAGTTGGACGTTCATCATATGTTTTTTACTAATTGTTTCAGAACATTCAAAAGTATTTCTGAAGGCATTGCTGTTGACACTGACTCATAAAAGTAATTAATCTTTTCTCTCTCTGTAGATTTTTGAGGTTCGCAATCCGGACGACCTGACTGAAGAATGGCTGAAGGAGAAATTGTCATTCTTTCGCTAAATTATGAACAGCATCATGAAATCATTCAGAAATGACGTTCAGAACTGATCTCTGTTCAGTGGGAACTTATTCTGTTTTAAATATTTCATCGTAATTCTTGCTCTTATTTCATTTTGTGTATTATGTAAGACATCATGCCAGTCTGGAGAAACTGGTTTTCTGTAAATCATGTGTTTGTGAATCAACATCACATAAATCACGTCTGAATCTCAGTGCGTTTGGTGATTTTTAGTGCATGACGTCAGTTCGGCTCTAGAGAATCACATACACTTCTAGTAAACAAACAAAATCATTGTTTATTTACAATGTTTACACTGTAATGAGAGAAAAACTACCAAAAAAAGATGCTCACTAATAAGTGATTCACTCAGTCCATGATGAAAAAGCAGAGAAATTAAACAGGAACATCAAACAGCAAATGAAAACTGAGTCTAGAGCAAACTACAGCAGGACAAACCAGTCATTCAGTTTATTTCTCACATCTATTAAAGATCATAGAACACACACTCACACACTCACGCTCACACACACTCTCACTCACACACTCTCACACACACACACACTCTCACACTCACACTCACACTCACACTCACACACTCTCACACTCTCACACTCACACTCACACACACACTCACACACACACTCACACACACACACACACACTCACACTGACACACACTCACACTCACACACACTCACACACACTCACACACACACACTCACACTCACACTCTCACACACTCACACTCACTCACATTCACACTCACACTCACACACACACACACTGACTCACTCACTCACACACTCACACTCACACTCACACACTCACACTCACACACTCACACTCACACACACTGACACTCACACACTGACACTCACACTCGCTCACTCGCACACACTCACACACACTCACACTCACACTCACACTCACACACACTG